TGTGCTGGACGTATGCTACAACGAAATGAATTGGTTCAAATATCGCTAAATTAATTATTGATACAATTGTGGTTTTTATTCAATGATACAATTCAGTCCAATATATGCGACACGGTATTCAAATGAACTGAAAATATCACTTTTATAGAATCAACGACGAAAATATCCCAAGATTTTGAAACAGGAAGTAGTCGGCGGAAATCAACATGCCATTTTGAATTCCTATTTATATTGCTTTCGAAAAAGAAACGTACCTACTTTCTGTAAAAAAACCAGTCACCCTACACAAAATGTATATATATTATTAACAAAGCTTCCGTTGTGACCGTAGACCACGGGTAGAAATGAGCCATTTTGGATTTGGACTGTTTTCCACATCAATTACTATTTCCTCCGTTGTCAGATGAAGGCCTACAAGAAATAATTTGAAATCTTGAAAGCTAAAATTTCAAAATACGAGGTTAGAAAAGGGCACAAATAATATTGCACGCAGAGGTACTGGAAAGGAAATGTCAAACCGTCGGTAATCGACGGGTACTGTTAGCACCTTCTATGGGCCCTTTTTTTCGGAGAATCTGAATCTGTTTCACTATTTCCATAACACACTAGATGTAGGAGCTACAGGCCACTACTTTCTTATGGACGCCATATTGGATCTTTACAGAATGAGATAGACGACAAAAACAAGATCTACCCGTGGATGTTTTGTTGAGAAATGAATGTAAAACATTTTATTATTTTTCTTGGAAATTTATGTAAAAGTATAGAGTGTGACACGTCGATATTTTCTTTTTTCGTCTCTACCTCATTCCAACATGGCGTCCAGAAGAAGTAAGAAAGTGGTAGCCTGTAGCTCCTACATCTAGCGTGTTATGGAAATTCTGACAATCAGATACTCCGAAAAAAAGTGCCCATATAAGGTACTAACGGGAATCGTGCATTTCCAACCGTTTAAGCTAGGCAAAATGAAAACGAAATTTTCAGTTTTTTAATAAGATCTCAGTTGTTTTCGAAGACTTCAAACATTTTAAATGCGTTTTTTTAGTCACAAAAAGGGGCCACTTTGCTCTCATTTAACCTACACCTCTCTCACCGTTGCGGAGATCCTATTGATGAGTCACGAACTTGAACCACCCGGTACAAAAAAAATAACGGAGAGTAGTAAGTCGGTAATGAAAGTAATTTCAATCACAACATCGATAACCACATTTTCTTGATGCGAAGGTAGAAAGAAATTTTCTAGAGAAGTGCGAAGATACATAAATAGCCCTACCCCTTCTGAATTTGAAACCGCTTGAGGGGGGTCAGTATCTAAATAAGGTATGAAGTAAAATTGATAGTTCCATAGGTATCCCCAGGATGGCGGTTGTGCACCATTTTGAATTTTTTAATGGGAAGGGAGATCGTGTGATACCTCATTTTGGTATCCGGAGTTCACCTCCTCAGTTTCAAGTCTCGACTGTAACCCCAGCTAAAATTGCGCTGGGTCAAAATTTATTGTCTCTGAAATTAAAAATGTAAAAAAACAATACTACAACATTAAATTAGTTTAGGTATATTTGTGACCATACGTACTTATAGGATTGCTTATCACTACAAATTAATTAATGCCACGTAAAAATCTGAGCAAAGTAAATTGATTTAATTTGGCGTTAGACTGTTAATTGTAACAAAATGTTGTAATGTTTACTTGCAGATCGATGTGGGTGTTAATAATTACGGCCGTTCAAATTAAATGAAATTAAAATGCACCTGTTAATTAAATGTAGAGGAGAGAAAAAAAAACTACAAAGTTAGATTTTAGATCTTAAAAACTGGTCACAGTGGAATTATTTCAGTCCATTATTTTTTTAAGAAAAAAGAAGATGGTATATTTAGATCTTTATTGTTCGGTTAATTATTTCGATTCAGGGGTTCTTATTTTTCGTTGGTACAAGGAACTTACTATTTATTTAGTAGATCTCAGGTTTCTTCTCTCTTTATCGCTTTATCTTAACGTCTCGATAAATAGTACATTGCACTACAGTATTGTAATAACCTACACGCGCAGAGCCAAAAAAACCATTCAGTTTTTGGATTCAAGAAATCAAGTATACGGTCCATTAACTGAAAAAATGCAAAAAAGTTTTCGCCCTCAGGCACATTTTCCATGCATTGATCAGTACCTTCCAAAAGGCCATAGCTATGTTTTTTTAGTACAAGCATCTATGGTTACGGTTTTTTCTTTGCCGATTTAAATTGCATTTAAGTAACCGTCGATTTGTACTCTTATTTAAATTTTTACGCCATCCGCGCGGTATAGATTTTGTATTGCAATAGTTCTTTATTTTGCCCACGGACGTCGTGCAGATGTTCTATCCTGTTTTAATTTGGTCTTGCTGTACTTCTTCTGCAGATAGAAAAATACGAATTTTTTCTCAAAATAATCTATATTAAACTTTTCTGTAGGTTATCGATTTCGAAACAATGTTTCATCTTCAGACCTAGGCGTCTAAATTTTCTGATTAATATAAAAACAATTGAAATTAAAATATTTGTACATATTAAAATTGTTGGACGAGGACAAGTTACATATTAAAATCTGATGTTGATAGTGGCAGAAAAAATGGCAAATGTGTTGATTTTAAGGTGAGGTGTCACCTAACTTCCACTATCGACATCAAATTTTAATATGTAACTCGTCCTCGTCCAACAATTTTAATATGTACAAATATTTTAATTTCAATTGTTTTTATATTAATCAGAAAATTTAGACGCCTAGGTCTGAAGATGAAACATATCAAAAGTTGAGAAAGTCTTGTGTCAGTATTCGCCTCTTTCAAATTTCGAAGTTATCTAAATAACAATTTTTCATATCAAATTTTTGGCATAACACAGATATTCGTTTGGAACCGATTTTTTAGTTTTTTTGTTATAATTTTAACCTGAATTTTTAGCGAGGATAAATTGTTTTGAGAGACAAACATGCATCACTTTTACATGTAACGATCAATTTGTCTAAAAGTGTGTATACATATGGCCCTAGTTATACCAAGTTAAAGAGAATTGAAATGGGGGGGGGGTACTTTTCATGGGTTTCAAACAACTAAAGCCCTCCCTCCCACCCTCTTAGTTTAATTAATTAGTGAGTGGTTGTAGGGGGAATGGAGAATATTAAAAACTGGTTTTATCCGTCATTGTATTCTAGTTAACAGTCTCATTTCTGCCAATGGGGGTTTACAGTATAGTTGAATTCCGTAGTTGTAATTTAATAAGCGTGTACCTGAAACCATAAAACATTTTTTTGGACAGTAATAGTTTATTTAAAAATAAGAGGCTGATTAGCAAAAAAATAATGAACATGTGCGGTTTTAAGGGATTATTCAAAACGATATGATTGTGGCCGGCTCTGTGACGTAATAAGCCCGACCAATCAGGTCATAGAACCATTCAGATGACATAACGAATTGGCAATATTGCAAGAGAATGTCATTTGTAACTTGCGTCACCTATCACAGGCACTTGTCACTTGTCGTTCACTTTCGCGTTAGATGCAGTTAAACATGCTTCTTAAAACGTGAAATCCGACAAACGTCAGACCCTCGCACAAGGTTGCCGGCTCACTTCTACGTGATTGGTTGTAGGTTTGTGACGTATTTCGACTGAAGCGTTTCAAATTCGGACTAAAAACACAGATTTTCAATAAATTATTTTGGGTTTATTTTACTCGCAAATAAAAATTGAGGACACACGGGTCTATGTACCATGTATTTTGTCAGGTGATCTTTAAATGTTCATGTTTAGAACCCTCTTCCCCATTAATCATTTATGGAAAACTTGCGCTACCAATTTATGTGAAACCTTGACCTTGTCTTGATTTATTTCCAGTGGTTCCCAATAATTTACTAAGCTATTTTGGCTTAATACTGGCTAAATATACTTGATATATTTTCCAAACGATCGCCAGAAAAAAAACCAATGTTTTAAATCAAGGTTCTTGTGCGTAAAAGAAGAAATTGTTGCAATCTTACTCTCTCCCTCTCTCCTTTGAAATTGTATTGATAATCCGAAATGAAAGATTTTAAGTAGCAGATCATCCATAAAATGTGAAATAAAATGAAATGAAATGAAATTTTATATAATCCTATAGCAGACTAGCTCGAGGATGGGACATAAGTTTTGTTTCACCTTCACCTCACCTCGTTCGATTTGACTACATCGTAAACCTTGCGGGCATACGTCCAGCCATTCTCCAAAGTTTCATCGCCATCGGATGAACGATTTAGGGAGGCATAAGAGACATACACACAGACCGACAAACATTCATTTTTAGTTATAAGCAAAATTTAAAAAAAGTAGGTAGCTTTTAATTAGCTTTCAAATATTTTTTTCAGTGCTTATAATTCAGAGAGAGGGATAATTGTCAAATTAAAACTAAAAATCGACCTGTTTAAGGTTTTTTCGCAATACTACAACTCAGTACAAGTTGGTGCTAACAAGTTAAAACTTCGTAGGTATTTGTCGACCCGTGTGGCGCAGTTGAGTTGAAGCTCGACTGCGGTACTAAGGGTCCCTGGTTCGAATCCGGGTTCGGGCAAGGATATTTGTAAATGTATAGTGTGTTGGGTTGGTAGAGCAGCATTGGCTGATACCCCGCCCACTCGAAAATAAAGAAAAAAAAATAAAATAAACCCTAATAAAATGAATTTATTCCATACATATGGATTGTTGTTTATTTACCTCGTATAGCCTTCGTCCTTGCACTTTACAGCAGCAACCTGCGAAATTTCGAAAGAAAGACAGTGTGTGTCGTCAAATTAAAAGACATCCTTTCACAGAACAACTTCCTAAATGACTATCAGGGAAAGTTTCTTTGTAGACGGTAATTAGCGAATAACTATATTACGGGGAGTTAAAATGATCACTGTATTTCCGAAAACTACTTTGTAAATAATAGCCATTCGAAATATCATTACTTATCTGTTAGGCATGTTATTAATGTTAGCATGTCAGAAACCTACCACAATAGGCAAGTCAGGTCCAGCGCTGCTAACTGTCGCTCCAAACCATTGAAAATCCTTATCATCGATTGGCTTCTTGTCTCTTTCACCTGCAAATGAAAACGATTCAGTGCCACAATTGAAGAACACTCTGTAAGAGTCATGCAAAAATTCGAATTACGGAAGAATAATAGAGCTCTAACAAGGAAAGAGTTGAATTGGGTTAGACGTATGACGACATGGCATATTTAGAAATCCCACGATCTACCTACCCATTCACTTAAAGAAAGTTAGTTCCCAAATAACAAATTTGTCCACAAAGCGAAATGCTCTCTTTTCTAAAACGAGTCGAAAATTGGGCTGTAACGGTATTTAAGTGAATCTTCAGGTGCGTTACTGTAATTAACGAAAGTAATTGCGCAATGGCGCCATTGCGTTCGTAAATACTATAACTTTTTATGTAATATCTTACCGACCTTGTTAGGCAACAACAGGTGAGGCTGAATATATTATAAACCCACATTTGAGCGTCAATGAATTTAATATATGCATCCCACTAAATTCGTTCATTCAGGTGCCGGACGAGCGCAGCTACCGTTTAATCTTGCAAAAAAAAGAGATTAAAACCGACACGATTCGTAGGTATTCATTACGGAGTAAATCATTACCCCGATGGTAGTGATTAAAATGGATCGCATTCTTATGCTGTCAGATAAATTTTCAATGTCGAGGATTCAATTGTGTTAGCTGGACCACATGGTGTGCCAGTAACGATCTATCTCGTTGTCCCATAATTGAAGTTGAAACTTTCTAAAAAGGGTTGCAAATAGACTGTTTGTGGTTGCGGTTAGTGTCCGGTAAAGGGACACCATCGCGGAAATGATCAAATTAATCTTGATTGTGTTGTTCCCACTGACCTAATAATTTTTATATGAAAAGAGATACGAAAGCGCGCAACTGTTCTAACATTTCGTTTACGAACATCTAATTTGGGATGCAGATCGAAAGTTTTGATGACATGTGTGAAGAATAAGTATCGACGTAACAATTGTGAATGGAAATTAAAACCATTATTGTACTTGTGACCAAGATAATTAAAACTAATTAATATGCTATAAACGTTTGCTTTGCTTGACTGTATAGGTACCATTATCTACTACACAAAAACTTTATGTTTCTAACGAAATACAACCTTATTTGCATTTCTAGCTGGTTGTCTAATGGGGTGGCATGACATTCTCGTTCTAACGGTACAGAATCCTGTCGGTATAAGAAAGTTAGCACATTTTGGGAAGCTTCTAAGACGCCAGCAAGTGGTTTTACATTCAAGATATAACTGCAACATTGTGACTCATAATTAGGGACTGGACTTATATGCATGAAAACACGTCAAAAATGCACAGATATGTACAGTGTGTCCCCGCATGGACTGAACAAGAGGGAAAAAATTTTTAATTTTAACTTTACTCAAAAATGTCATTCTTTATAAAAATTTTTGCTTGCCTCAAAACCACCTATTCTGAAATAAAAATCTAAATATTCCTTTTAGCAGCTGAGAAAATTACAAAAAACGCAAAATCTACAGCGGAAATTTTTCTAAGTTGCATGTTTTTGATTAAATCAGACTATCATTGTATCTTCCATGGCAACCTGATAAGCAAATCAAGTTAAAAAAGACACCTTAGAGCTTAAGAAAAAGAATGACATTTTTGCGTAAAGTTAGAATTAAAAATTTTTTCCCTCTTGTTCAGGCCATCCGGGGACACACTGTATATGCACAAAAAATATGGCAAAAAAGCGTGAAGATATGGATGAAAAATTAAATAATGCACAAAAAATTATTGAAACTTTTTTAATTCAAACTATTTAAACATAAGCTGTATTAAAACAATTAATGATTAAGTATTGTTCCAAGTGGTCTATCTTAAAATATGTGCGCCTATTACTTAGTACGTGGTTATTACACAGAGAAACATCTTTCCGCATCGACACGAGTAATTGGAGCGTACTTTAGTTGAGGTATCAGAGGCGGTTCTACATTTAAATGTTTAACATTTTCCCCAGCCCCATCTTATTTGTTGAACTTTAAAAGTTCCTTACATTATAAATTAATGCTGAATTGAACACCGCTGAAGTTTTATAATTTAACAACCTTGGGCGCCATATTTTTTTGTATTTCATTTACTTTTGTATTTTTTCTTTTTTTTTTCTTTTTCTTTTTTTTCTATTTTTATTGTTTTCTTTTGTTCTGTTTCTATCTTATAATTTTTATTTTATTTGATTTATTATTTGTTTATGTTGCAATTAGTACCATGGAAACTTGTTTTGTAATAAAATTGGTTCAAAAAATTAATAAAATGCTAATCTATCTTTATATATGCACCAAAACCCCAAAAATGCAAAATATGCACTATTTTTTTGCGCCAATGTGTCATTGTTGTTAGTTCGTGTAAATTATTGCTTTATTTTCAGCTGCATACAATATTTAGGTAATGCATAAAGCATGAAATCCGGTCTCTACTCATAATGAATTAGGTATTGTCACGCTGTATACAGGCTGTTTCACGCAAACCGTTACCTAAAAGTATTCAGGCTCTCATTAATAATTTAAATCTGAAGATTTGCATAGCATAATAGTTTTTCGTAATCTATCGAAAGCACATATTACCATGATCGTTCCACTTCCGGTTTTACCGGATGTGGATAGCAACGTTCTTATTTTAAATCGAACATATTTTATTGCATTTTCGAGTATCAGAGGTTTTCAAATTGTTAAAGATTTTTCAAAATTTTTGACGTTTGACTTTATAAGTTATAAAATGATTTTGACCAGGACCATATATAATTATGTTGTAACATGCCAAACAAAGCATGTTTCTCGCAGTTCACACATTAATGGCACTTTGTATCTTTATAGGGAGCAGAATATTGGGTAATTACAAATCTAAAGAGTGTCGTCATACAATATTGTTGTGTAAACGGACGTTGTATGAGGCTTCAGTAAGTACCTACAGTAATGATGGGTCATCCTGTATATATAATTTCGATTATTTTTGACGTTAAATGTGGTTATAAATTGGGATTGAACGCAAATCTCGATCATATTAGTTGAAACTTGAATCAGAATTATTTAATGTTTAATTTTGTTTTATAAATTTAAATTACGTGTTAAAAGACTAGATTTATTCAGTTAGGAATTATTCGCGTGGTATTTGTAAAAATGTACCTCATATTGTCTCCGGCCGTAGATAGGAGTCTTTATCGCTGTGTAAGCTAATTAATTTCAAGATAAGATGTTTTTTGCTGATAAGAAAACACAGGTGTTTATTTTATTAGAAGACCCATAAATCTGTTAATGAGGCGGAAGTTGACAAGTAAAAGAAATTGTTTTAAATAAAAATGGAATTTAGGCTTCTTTGGTGGTAGACGTTTGAAACGTAGCCGTTTGTTTTGATGTATTGCAATTTTTCAGCGTAAATATTTGAAAAGACAGTCTGTCTGATTTAATTTAATACAGTTGTGTAGAAAAAAAAGAAAAAGAGTGTCATGATAAAAATCGAGTTGAGCGGAGGCGTGTTTTCACGTTCACGAAGAAGTTTAGTCAGAGTACTGTGGTTATAGAGCGTTTGTCGCTAAAGAGAAGATTTATCCGTTAAAGGGAGTTTAACCACCATGAAAGGACAAATACTACAATTGTAATAACAACCAGTCAGTGTCGCTCGAGGTGTCGTCTAATTCGGGTTTTATGTGAAGTTAAAAAAGTTCCGAAGCATCGTTAGCTTGGTTTTTGTGTTGTGTTAGTGCGCCTGTTTGTTAAAAGCTGCAATAAGGATTATTCAACTTAAGGTAATTAAAAAAACTTTATTTAAACTTAATTTGTTTAATCGATCGCTAGTTGCGTGGTACATGTGTTATCTGGCCCTGAATGCCTACTTTAGCACCTCACCTCGGGGAGGGGCTACAGTTTCTCGAAGACAAGAACCGTCCTAAACATGTGAGGGCGATGGTATGGGTTGTCGGGGTGCCCACAGGAACCGGAAAATCCACAACCCAGGCATGACCGTGGAAAGAGGAACATAAAAGGTACACTAGATTTCCAGAGGTGAAGCGAATTCAAAAAAATATCCATTACCTGGAAAAGAAGTGATATAACCTATGATTAAGGTGATTCAAATTAATCTGCGTCACTCATAGGCTAATACAGTGGCCTTGAGTGATAAATAAATGAAACAGGTCAAGATTTTTCCTTTACTCCAAGAACCCTGGGTATATAAAAGCCAAGTCAAGGACTTCGGCCTTTTTTGTGGCGGTTACCACATTCCCTTTGTTGGTACTCACTTCTGAGGTCCCGTTCACACGCAATTTCCATTCTAGTGGATTTCGCTAAAAACCTTCCACAAAATAGTACTCAATTTTTTTGGGGGCACTTCTCATAGCTCGAGCTTCTACTGTCGACACGAGAAGGAGAGGCCGCGATTTGAGCTCTAAGAAACTTTTGGGCGCCCAAAGTTGACTACCCCTCGAAAAGGCGCGTCTTGCAAAAGGTGGTTAATTTCACCCCTAGGAAAAAAACGAGATTCTGTCACGCAGACGTGCGTGTTTACAAGTTTTTCCGCCGACCCTACACCATGTAACCCCTTCCCTAAGATTGTAAATTACCCGGTCCCGGTAGGTAAACGCACACTCGTCTTTCTACAAGCGTTCTTCTACGGGCCCGCATTTGCTGCCAGCCAACCAGCCAGCGGGCCAAAGTGAGATTAAAAGCTACCTTTTTAGAAATAAATTTGCAAAAAAGCCCTAAAAATGCATTACTGTAACACCATTATGGAATGGCTTCGTCATGGTTTTGAATTAGTGTAGAACAAAAATGTCTCGGATCCGTTCAGGAACTTAGAGGTTTTTTTATGTGGCTGAGGGAGCAAGTGAGTGGAAGAGATATCGTACCTCTCTCACAGAGTATAACAAAGTAATAAGATGAGCTAAGAAAGAATCATGGGAGGCAGTATCGAAAAGATACTTGAAGTGACGAGGTTCCAAAGGGTTTTTCAAAAAGGGCAAATAGGAAACCTTCGAAAAAGTAATGGGAGCTACACGAAACCAAGAACACTGGAACTTTTGCTTCAAAACTATAAAGAATAGAGAAAACTCAAACCTGCCAATTCCAGATTGAAAACGAAAAGGACGAATAGGGAAGTATCAAATACGACTATACAGAGTGCCCCACAATAAAAGGGGCCAAATTTTGCTACGGGTTTTCTTAGGTGAATTTGAGTCGAAGATGGGTCCACAAATGCTTCGTTATCGAGACATGATTTTTTGGCTTTGTGCAAGAGTGCATCCGAAACCACGTCCAGCTGGCGGAAAATATCACGTCTAGCAGCTAGCTGATGTGGGTACCCGGACAAGGTTACGAAATGCCCGTCGACTAGCCAAAGAAGGTTCTCGGCAGTTGCCTGACAGGTAAAGGAATTAAAAGCATTTCAAAAGAATGGCACGAGAAATACTGAAAGCAGCTGACTGGGCAGAACTACGCCAAAGCGTTGGATAAGAAGCCAGATAAGGGGCTGAATACGTATATGCTAAATCACAGACCAAGCTCAGACACCATCTTTGTGTTTAAGTCCATAACTAGACAGTGCCAAGTCGCAAACATCTAGGTATCAGATCTTCTGCTGTGTTTGCTGGTGAGTGAATGGAGAAGGGAGCGGTTTGTAACAATCCAAACAGTCGGATGTATCGTGCGCTACTATTATGTCGTAAATGGGTCACATGCCAAATGGAATTGCTCGCCTCCACGTGTTACTGTAGTAGCATTCATTGGTAGTAGTTAATGGTACCTACGGCAACTGCGACTGCAATGATGTACCACGCCACCACAACTCACTTAAAAATGTATGAGGTAATACGAGAACTTGAGGGGGATATAAAAACGAATTTCAAAGGAACTTGAACAAGCTTGAGAAAAAATTGAAAGGAACATAAAAGAAGTTGACAAAAGTTGGAGGGCGAAGAGAATTTCGGGAGAGAATTTGATGGAAACTTTTTATTTATTTTATTTTATTTTGCCTTTGTTTTTGAGTGGGTGGGGTTTCAGCCAAGGCTGCTCTACCAACCACTCACTATACATTTACAAATATCCATGCCCGAACCCGGATTCGAACCAGGGACCCTTAGCACCACAGATCAGCTTTAACTGAACTGCCCCACACGGGCATGTTCGTCTAATCCGTCTCTGAGGATACGAGGATGTAAGTTTGTTCCACTAAGGGACGAGAAGGATAGAATAGGTTCCTAGTGACGTCACTTTGTCGCAGGTGTCTTCCTTCTACTATTGTCTGCATTAGTAGTGACGAGATGTGTAAGGTGTAGTTACGATGTTTATTAGATATTGATCAAGTCAGGTTAGCGGTGTCGTTGCCGTATAAGTAGCAAAAGTTGCAGACTATACGTAACGCTAACTTTTTGTAATGAAAAAAGTCTAAGTGATTGAAAAATCTTGACCTCGTTATGCAAATATAGACTTTTGCTAGAAATACGCTTACAACAGGATTGCATATTTAACACATGGGTACCGCTTTGGATTCATAAATGACAAATATATTTTAGGTAGAAATTAAATTTGGAAGTTGACTTTGAAATAGTTATATCGGGAAGCATAGAATAAATAAACAGATATTGCATTGCAATCTACGTCATACATATCTTATACAGTTGTTAAAATTAGCATAAATAAAAACTGAAATTCGAATAAAGCGCAGTTCTCTTCGAAAAAGGAAAACAGTTTTACGATATTACAAAATCGGTGTAATAAAATATATCTCTATATATAGAGTAAAGCGTGCGGATATCTACATACAATGCGGCCATGAACAGGTCAGAGGCGTCCGTCACAGATAGTTGTGAGACTCTGCCAACTTGATACCATATTAACATAAAATATGTAACTACCTTATATAACAAACTACTGTATACGTTCGTGCTGCATGAAGAAATACTTACATGGGCGAGGAATAATTCCTTTACGTAAAGCATCAGACGTGTTAGTTAAAATTAAGTGCTGTTAGAAAAAGGCTGATTAAAATGATAAAAAGTGTTTAATTACTTCTTTCGTCGTTGAAAATAATTTCATCACAACCATTATCGCTTGTTGTTATGCACTTGTATACGGATCCTCCTCGTACGATTCCAGTGTTTAATTCACTCTGTGCTTCGGGAGCACCGACAATCACCCTGTAACAAAAAAATATATGTACTTTCCATAACATAATAAATAAAAGGTGATATAAAATGCAGTCCTAGTATGTAAAATCGAATCGGAAGAAATCAATATAATAATCAATAATAAATTTTTAAAATCGCTTGAAAAAATTATTTAAGTGACTATATAAAAGCACAGATTAGTTAATCTGTGATAAAGGTAATGAAATGTATATATACTTTATACATCAGTTATTATAGTTACTGTATATTTTTGGAAGACATCTATGTCGGTTAAGCTGATTAGCAGACAATAAATAGTATTGAAATGATTTTTCAAATTAAATTTTGCCTTCCTTTCTCAATTTTTTTATTTTATGATTTTAACAATGTTTTCTTGCTTTTGAGTTTTAATAATTATTATCAACCCTTCTGACTGCTTCATACATTTGAATTTTGTAGTTTTGAAATACTTCTACCTCCATTCTTACAAAACCTTTTCTGAATATTTTTGGAATTCACGAGTTTTATAGTTTCTCACAGCTTTTTGGCATTCTGAAACTTGTACGCCTTGTTTAAAATTCATCAAACTGTTCTAAATGTTTATGATTATTTCATAGTATTTTCTCTACCTTTTCTAATTTTTTAATAAGGGAACGTTTCGCTAATTTACCTTTGGCGCCTACTTTTTTGTTATTCAAACAGCTCCTGTCATTTTGCTGAACGACTTTTTTGTATCTGATTCTGAATTTTTTGAAAATTTCAGAGACCTTTGGGATCAAGGGTAGAGGTGGAAGGCGAAGTTAAAACAAGTAAACTGGACTATCGTTATACGCATGGATACGTAAACTTGATTATTCTTTTAAACGTGTTTTTAGTTAAGTTCTGAAGTTTTCAGCAAGTTTCTGAATTTCTCAAGTTTTCTTTTTTGCACGAATTTAACGTGTACCTAAATTTTTTTAATTTTCGCAATTTCCTAAATTTTTCTGAATCTTAATTTCGTTGAATATTGGCGAGTTTTTCGAATTTTTTCAATTATGACCAAAGTTTTCAATTTTCAAAATTTCCGAATTCTGGAGATTAAAAAAGTGTTTAATTCTGTAAATTTCTTTGAATTCTTTTTTGTACATTTTTATACATTTTTGGAGAGCTTTTCGAATTTTACCCAATTTCTTGAAGATTCAAAATTTTTTAAATTCCAAAAATTCCTCTGGATTTTAAAATTTGTTAAATCGTTTGAAATTCTTTGAATTTTCCCAATATTTTTTCTGAATTTTAATCCATTTTTTAAAATTTCGGCAAACTTTCCGAAGTTTACTTAATTTCTTGAATGCTCGATATTTTTGTGAATTATTCAGATTCAAATTTTTAATAATGTTAAACTTTGTTCTGAGCTAAAGATCCAGATTGTTCTTTTTTATTATACCTGAATCACAATCTCCGTTTTAAACACTCAAATGCGTGCGAAAAAAGGCCTTTAAAACACACGTGCTTTAACGTTGCTAAGTAACGATACTTCAAGTATGACTTTTGAAAATGTCATCTGGGTGAAATAAAAAAACTTCCTAAGTCGCTTTCTGTAAATGCAGAACATTTCTTTGGCTTGTACATATCCTTTGGTTGAAGCTTTTACAAACGCGCGTAATTTAGGGTATGCTTCCAAATCTGTTCCACTTTTTAGTCCCAGCAATAAGTGAAGTTTTGAATTAATGCACCAAAAGATAGAAGATTTAAATACCTTTGACATTTCCTTCATATATGCCAGCATTATCGATGCATTTAAGACTTTATTCGTAAGTAACTTCCTATTCATCCATGGAAACAACTTTTCATATGCTTGATAATAGGATTTACTGGATTGAGATTTTACACCTACCAACGTTTGTTTAGATTTTACAATAAGCGATTTAATGGACGGTGTATTATCTTTTTCAACGGAAATCGTTTTATTCACAAAGACGACAATTTTTATAAGCAAACGTCAAGTGACATTTCCATGGTAATCGTGAAATTACGAACACCCAGCCCACTTAATTAGACATGTATTCGAGTATAACGTCAATATGATTTCATTGTATTTCCTATTTTTAAATTATACTGCAGGTATAATAAAAAATACTATAGGATACACGTGTATAATTGGTCTTTAAAGCACTTGCAACGTTAAAGGCACTCCGCTTTGCGTCGTGCCCTTAAACTCGTTGCGCGTGCTTTAAAGACTTGATTATACACTTGTATCTTAATATACTATTTAGTGTATTCCTATAATAGCTATATCAGGTGTCCAAGATAAAAATAAACAGCACGAGGATTTCGGATGCCATTAAACTTAGAAATCCGTATTGCATAGTAATTTTGCGAACGTCATCTTGTACAACTATAAAAGTTGCAATGACAAAATGCATTTTATTTCTGTTTCTCTTGAAGTAACCTAAAAAAATAAGTAAATCATGATATTTCGTATTTTTTCATCTCGGGAAGTAAGCATACTTTTCTAATTGTCGAAATGGCATAATTTTGAAATGTTGTTGCTGTTCATTTTCATCTTGAACACATGGTCTGCTTACTCCTACTTTGAGAAAAAAAAACACTTTCAATTTTTGGTTACATTTACTAGAATTTTTAGAAATTTTCCGAAGTTTTTAATTTTTGTTCTGCATTTTTAGAAATTTTGAATTTTCTTCTTAGAATTTTAGTATAAATTTCTTTAATTTTCTCATTTTTCCGAAGAATTTGGCCGTGTTTCTAACTCTTAATGGAATTCCATTCCTATTTTTTGAAATTTTTTGTTTTGTTTACTTTTGTTTTCACTTTTCTAATTTTTCGTAGGATCCTGCTAGATTTGAATTGTTGTGTACACCTAATTGTCTATCTATCCGATTCTGCCTCTAACAGTTAACTTATAAAGACCATTTTCAGAACTGCCATAATTTAGCGCCTATCGGGTAATAAATAGATTACTATTTGTAAAAGTGAAGATCCAATTGCTATCCCATCCACAAATGTTATTTTAGTTAGCTATCTGCCCAATCCTTGCTTTTTAATACGCTTTTATTACGTGAATAAGGTCCTAGTAGGCCTCTCCGTTAAACTAATTACTTTGCAGATTGTACGTATTGCATGGGTAAATATTTATATCGAACCTTTAGCATCAATAGAATCTGCAGTTATATCTGTATCGCAAGGTAAATTTCACGCACGAACTAGCTGGAATAGCAGCGATCCATCTTTCATGCAAAAAAGTAGTAATGCTGACATTTTTAAAGGGTAGATAACCAACCAACCTACAGACATGACAGAAAGATTTTAAATAATCTTCTTATCGGCCTATAAAATTAAACTCGAAAGTTTTTACAAGCTCGGCAACGTATTTCAAATATCGCCCTAAACTAAAAACCTAATAACCCTCAAAATGTTTTTAAGATGCCGAAAGATCATTAAAATTTTTAAATCTACTGAAACTAGAACATTTTTACAAATTTTGAAACGTATTTCGAATATCATCCTAATCTTTTTTTACCAGCATAAAATCGCGAAACTGCGAAAATTATCGACCACTGCCTTTTTGGCATTCCCAACGCTGTCTTGTAAACTATCCATTCGGTTTTGATAATATTTGAAATATGGTTAATTGGCATTAAGGTAAATAAGATTCCGAATACAGAAAAGTCCTTTTGGCACACGTAACCCCAGACCACGACTTTGGTTCAGTTTCCAAGGCCACGACTTTGGTGCAGAATCCAAGACCACAACCTTGGTCCAGAATCCAAGGTCCCGACATTGGATCAAAATCCAAGGTCACTAAAAAGGACGTGCAATTACCAAAAACCGGTTCGTGATTATTGAAATAGATTCTCGATTTCTAAAAAGAGATCGTCGTTTCCAAAAAGAGATCGCGTTTACTAGAAATAGTTCACGATTGTAAGAGCGATATTTTATGGTAGTCCTTGATAATGAAAAAGTAGAATGTCAACGCAACCCCCGTTTCATAGATGTGGCAAGCTGACTGGTCAAGTATGCAAGTTTGGCGTATAGGTAATAGCCCTGGAATATGAGTGTCTCTCACGTATAGTGTAACGAAGCACCTATTTTCCGCTTTGAAGTTTCATAACCGAAGTTGTGACCGCACCGTATGTTTGTGGAATCGGCCAGCTGTGCTGAACGCCTGGTATAAAGCAGCGTCGTTGCGAACATGTTGTGCCGAAAGTGTTTGTGTTGACAACCGTTCCCTTCAAGATATTTCAATTGTATTTGTTGCGTCCGAACGCTCTTGTCATTTGGAGGACGAGGGCGAGTTAATGTTTTAGAATTTCAGTCACCTTAAGCCGTTATTTACAGGTTTTAGTGCCCTATGTTAATTTAAAACGAGCATTGGAACTACAGGACTATTCAGGATTGCGCCGTTTTCCGCTTGATAGCGCCGACTCCGCCAATTGATCCCAACATTCTAATATCGATTTTAGACATTTAAATCCGGCCAATTAAGTAAGTGGAATTAACAGTAGTTAGCTACAAATGCGTTGCAGTAAACGTCATAGTCGCGTGGGGTGTCAAATGTCTTAATTGATTTGAATTTTGGGACCAATTACAGATTTTTAGGACGTCAGCAGGCCGCACTATTAATTAAAGAAGTTGTGATTTTTTTATGTAGATAACCGAAAACGCAAGCCGATTTGGAATTTCCTACGTTGCCTCCATGGCATAACCGAATTTAATAGAGGTAAACGCTTAATTTTGGAGGGATCTTTTGCCTTTTGCATCTTTGCAAGTTACGTTTGTTGGTAAGGTAATTTTTGAGATTTCCCTTAAATTTACTTTGTACCGTACCGTATCTAAATTTTGTTTTTACATTAAGGGTGTACCGCACCGTATCTAAAGCTTTTGCTTTTTCTTGCACAGTAATTTCTACCGCTCCTCCAAGGTAAGCTTTTTGTTATTTTCCGTTTCATTAATTGAAAGGAGGGATATTGTTTCGCTTTCCTGCTTTTGCTTTCCCGTAGATACGTTACCGACCCAATACGAAAAATCTATGGCCTAACATAAACAGTGAGGGGGTGATCTCGACCTGCAGGTGTGTTCGCAG